CCTAACATACAAATCTAGGATTCTTCATACCTAGGTGAATAAGAAAGTTACTCCATAGAGAGAGATGAGAAATCTAGCTCAGATGCGGAAACCATACTGTGAAGGATGAGATTCTGCTTCTGGCACTCAATCAGCTCTTCTCCAAGCTCAAGCCGGGCCCCAATGGTGATGGAGATCGATCTAAGGCACTTGAAGAATCAGGTTCGTCACTTTCTCTCTCTAGGGATACACTTTTTCTCTCTAAAACTCGGTTTCCTTCTCCTTTGGCTTGAAATTGGGTTAAAACCCAGAAATTCCCGACCACACGGCCGTGTGAAATCCCCAGCTTGCCGTGTGGAAGTGCAAAATGCCGCGTTTCACTTAAGTGGTTTCAGGTATGCTACACGGCCAAAACCACACGGTCGTGTGGATTTCCAGGCTGCCCGTGTGAGCTCCCTGGACTTTCCACACGGCCACAAGGGGTCCCCTACACGGCCAGTGTGGCTTGCCCGTGCAAAAATGGTGCCATACGGCCAAGTCACACGGCCGTGTGGGATTTTAGGCGTGCCCGTGTGAGTTTCTCAGCTTCTCGCCAAACGTTCAATCTTCGTCCAATCGACCCCGAGCTCGTTCCCAAGCCTTCATTCACGCACTAGGACCTGAAATGTCACAAACAAGAACAACCTAGCGTGAAATCGGCTTAAAACACAAGAATCAAGACTCAAACGGTACAAGAATGGTGGACAAAAACATGTGTATATAGTAAGTCATCACCGTGGGACCCACGAATTTGGATCCTTAAAGTTCATGAGTCACACGGATTTGTTGCCACAAAATGCATGAAGCAAACAATGAAATTTGGATTTCCATGATAGATCCAAATCCATAAGCAAACAACCCATTAACCTTCTTCTGAGTCACTCTTTACATGGAAGTGTCTTTGTTCACCGGTAGACTGTCAAATTGTAGTCAATTATAGATAAGAAATCCTTTCTATCTAGAATGTGTCGTGCACCTCACCTAACTGTTCACAAAAAGAAATCATAATCAATTAGAACCAATCATAGCAAATAACAAAAAAAAAAAAAAAAAAAAAGCAAAATACATTTATATAGCCAAAACTTTCGTATCTGTAACAACAATAGCCAAATTTGGAGAAATATCACTTATAGCCACATTTTTTAAACTTGTTTGACTAATTTAGTCATTTTCATCAAATACTTAACACCGTCAAGATTTCCGTCAATTAAATGGACATTAGGCTGATGTGGCCGCCACCTAGACGACACATCATTTCCACGTAGACTCATTATGCCATAGGTCTGCCACGTCAAATTTTAAATTAAAAAATATTTATTAATTTTTTCCCTTATTCTTTCGCTTCTTCTTCCACCTCTTCGTCTTCCTCTTCTTCTCCCTCTTCAGCTATGCCAAAAGAATCAAGCATACAAGTCTCCATATGAAAGCACACTTCCTAACCACTAACCAGACATATTACCCTTTTCTCATGGGCCAAAATCCCTCTTTTTGGCTTTCATCATTCAAAGAAAACGTTGAAGAGGCAGCCCTAGAAAAAGCTGAAGAATAAATAGCAGTACCAGAGCTGTCGCCATTGACAGCAACCGATGACACAGATGATCTTCTGGGTTTTATGAGAGAGATAAATCCAAAAGTAGTTGAGCTAGACGAAAGCAATGCTTTAGCCCATATCCTATTTTTATCTCCTCGACGACGACGACGGTAAAGAGATCGAAATTGGGGGCGAAATAGATAGAAGCAGAGTACACAAAGGAACCGCCACGCCAGATTCGAAGGATGCTCCTCATTCTAAAAAATTTCAGATCTAATTCCTCCACCGGTTTGCCATATTCGTCAAGGATGCAATCTTTGATGGAGCTTTCCATATCTACGATTTGCTTGCCAAATCACACATCTAGAATCATTATGGCTTCATCTTCTGTTTTCTTTGTCGACTCTGCTGATACACCGCCATCATTGGAGAAAAACGAACACTGAACCCATAACCATGAATGAATAATGGAGGAGGGGGAGCGATGTAATTGCTAACTGAAACTTGATTGGGAAAGGATTTAGGGTTTTTTGTGGAATTTTCCATGAATATTTGGGGCAAGGGTTGTAGTGATGAACTGGGAAACGATTTGGAAAGATATGATTTTAGTTTGAGTTTTTTTTTTTTTTTTTGTTCATGCATTCTTTGGCGATTGAAGAAAAAATTAGAACATTTCCAACATGGCAAATCTAGGTGGATATTTACGGGCAAAATTGGCTGGAAGTGCTCGCCACGTCAGCATCTTCGTATATCCAATCACACTTTAACACTAACACAGTTAAAGAATTGGACGGAAGTGACTATAAGTAGTATTTCTCCAAAATTGACTATTATTGTCACAAACGAGAAAGTTTTGACTATACAATAGGTGTCAAAACATAGCCCGACCCGATTAACCCGCCCGATCAACCCGACCCACAACCCGACTGCAACCCGAATTGACTAAAAGTCAACAACCCGTAACCCGCCCGACCCGCAACCCGATTGACCCGCAACCCAACTAACCCGCAACCCGACGAACCCGCAACCCGATTAACCCGAACCCGATTGACCCGCAACCCGATTAACCCGAACCCGATTGACCCGAACCCGACTAACCCGTAACCCAACCGACTCAACCCGAATTTCATCTAATCCATTTGAAAATTATAAAAATATACAATACATAGTTTTTCAAAATAAAGTTTTTCATTCTAAACTTAAGTAAAATTATTTTTTCATTTCGTATAAGAAATTTTAAAAATATGAAACTCACTTGATATTACGTATTTTAAGAAAATTACAAAAATTGAAACATGAAGGTCACTTGAGATCATGACAATATTAATATAATATATAAATTAAAATTTTGGTTAATTTAACTATTCAATAAAATTATCAATTAAATATAAATAAAGTAAAGTAATGTATTTGTTAATTTGATGTTTTTAAAAGAAGAGGAAAATTTTGGTGTATTCAAGTTTTTGGGAAGAGAAAGAAGAGGGAAATTTGGTTCTTTGATTTTTTTAAAAAAGAAACAAGTGGGAATTTTGGTGGTTTTGATATGTGGGAAGAGAAAGAAGTGGGAAAGTTTGATTTTTTTGATTATGAAAGAGAAATAAGGAGGGAAACTTTTGACTTTTCAACTCTTTGTAAAAGGAAAGAAGAGTGTAATTTGGTTCTTTCAATTTTATGGAAGAGAAAGAGGAGGGAAAATTGAGTTTTTCTAATGTATGGAAGGAGAAAAAAGGAGGGAAATTTTAGTATTTTTGTGAAAAGTAAGAAGGAAACAAATTTGGTGTGTTCAATTTTTTGATTTTTCATAATTTTATCTTTTGAAATATGAATCTTTAACTTTTATATGGAGGGCATGACTAGTTAAAATTATTCTTATATGCTTTGAAGGCTAAAATGTATATATGTATGTAATTTTTTATGGGCTAATAAATAAATTAATCATTAGTTATAACAATTTATACTAAACTTGATAAGTAATCTTTGACGGTTCGTTGTTTAGGATATAAAGTATATGGTTAAGTTATAAGGTATAAGGTACATATGGTTTAGGGTGTATATGGTTAGGGTATAAGATATTGATGGTTTGGACGGTTCTAAGTTTTTTATTAACATATGTTCACTTGAAGTCATTTGAAGTCTTTAATGGCAGGATATCTATTGTCAAAACAAAAAAAAAAGGCAGGAGATCCCTTTTTAATTTATGTTTATGGTATGTGGTTAGGGTACAAGGTATGTGATGTAAAGTATAGGATATATGGTTAGGGTATAACAATTAGCAAATATCACTTTTTATCTATGTTTTGAAAATCAAAGTATGAATTTCACTTTTAAATTAACTATACTAGCAAAATCACAACTCAAGGACATATGATTAGGGTATAGGTTATGTGGTTAGTGTATAATGTATTGATGGTTTAGGGTATACAATCAACAACATATACTAACTTAATATTGTTGATTGATGGTAAAGCTAAGTGTATAGGATATATGTTATTGAGTAAGTTATGATTGAAGTCACAATAATTTTACTAAATTTGATAGCTAATCTTTAATGGTTCAATTTTTAGGATAATTCGAACAATTTTACAAATAACTCGTTTGGCAACAGTTTACTAAAGTTATTTGGGCAATGAGTTATTTTGAAATACCACACGCCAAATACCAGATTTGCATGGTTATACTAAACGAGATACTTTAATCCAATTACTACTGAATTAATACTAAAATATCAAATAAACAATTAACAGTGTCTTTTGGTTGCAAATATTGATATCACCATTACTATTAGCTATAATACTTTACTAATTATGATTAATTACATAACAAGTTTGCAAGTCATACAAATTGATTTAACATTTTGACTAGTTTTTTTCAAAAAATAAAGTATATATATACAAGGTAGAAATAAATTGATTAAAAAGTTGAGAAAATATTTTAAATTACTGTAATAAAATGTGTAAGTTGTTAATGAGTAATGAGTTAAGTTACTTGATGCGCTGGCCCGAACAACCCGAAACCCAACCCGCCCGCAACCCGCCCGACCCAAAACCCGATGAACCCGCAACCCGATTTGCCCGCAACCCGATTGATTCGAACCCGATGAACCCGCAACCCGACTAACCCGCAACCCGTTTGAACCCGATTGAACCCAGCCCGAACCCGCCCGATTGACACCTATAAATTACAAGTGTATTTTGCCAAAAAATAAACACCAGTGGTTCTCTAGCTAGCCATATTCAAATTGCTGCCACGTGAAAGTGGTGGTCACGGGGACCTACTAGCCATGCAGAGAAAGACTAGGGCAGTGCAATCTCTATACTAATAATAGGTAGCACCACAGCAGCAACTAGTCCATAAGGAATTTTGAAGTTTTTTCTCTTCTAACATGGATCTTTGCAGCAGAAATCAAAACTGTTTCTGAAAGAAGGTTAAAAGGAATAACTGCACTGGCAGCTCATAATGTAATTGTGACCAGTAACGGGTAGCAGTGATCTTTGTCATAACTCGGCCATGAGTCATCCCTATTCACAAACACATGATGACGTTTCCAGACTTCAGTGTCATAGTTCTCTGTTACAGAGAAATTCAAGCCAGTTTCTTCAACTTTCTGCAGAAATTTGTCTAACGAGTCACCTCTTTTCGGGCTGAAGAATATGGCTTTAGAGGACGTGTCATTTCTTAACAGATTTCTGACAGTTGTAGCGAGGCTTTTGTGGAAGTCCTTAAAAAAGGTGCTGCCAAAAAGAAGGTAGCACGTTTGAGGTTACTGAGTAAAGTTCCCCCACAATAAAAAAGAGAGCATCTTAGTGTGCTTGCATGGTGTTCCATGCGATTAACAACAATGTAGAAGTTCCTTTTTCTCAGCTAATGGAGGGTGCTGATGATGTCTGACACCGTATTCTCAACAAAAAGGGAGAGCCGAACGTCCAACTAATTTAACAACTCAGATAAGAAAATTTGGATCTAAGGAAAAAGACAATGGCTTTCGCCCAAATTAGCTGGAGAAAAGAGCCTACAACAACATTATGCATTTGCATTGACATGGAAAGTGAAATGAATGAGAACTCACCAGTCACTGGCAACAATGACGTCGAAGGCATTGGACATATTTGATGCTGCTTCTTCATCCCAATGCAATGTCACAGCGGTAACTTTTGTGGCGCCAAATGCTCCAGAATTGGCCTCTATATTACGCTGGATATCTGCAGGTTAAGCACTGCAACTTGAAGGATTAAAGAGTATGTATAAAGAAGTTGATGGACCCATCGGCAACAGAAGATCCTGACCATGGGTGTTCCACGTTTTAGAAACTGGAAGTTTGTTCACGAAATCATCCAAATAGACTTGATAGCAAACCACAAAGGGAGAAATTGAAGCAAATCTGGTTAAAAAGTAATATTGGGTTCCTAATGTTCACAAACACAATTAGATGTTTTGTTGAGTGCCATAATTCTTTCCAAGTGAGCAAACCAAAAGGATACAATCAACCACTTGAGAATTTCCATCCGAGATTACAACTTCAGATGCATCACTAATAGCTGCAATAACTAGACCAGCTAGGCCATATCCTGCCCCAAGCTCAATAACTTTCTTAGATCTGAAACATCGAACAACAGTAAAACGAAGAAATGTCACGGGGAAGAGTTAAGACATTACGGGCAGCTTCATACTTGATTGCTGAACATAATCCAAAGATCAAAAGAGAAGAGTTATCTGACAAACTTGAACATGTCTCGATTGGACAAGCAAAAATGAGCAAGGACATCCTCTGATGGCCACTGGCCTGCATAAGAAAGCATCCCAGTCATTTACACAGAAATGGTGTAAGGGTATTTATTTCTTATCTTTCGGTGAAGCCATATTATATCAGGCGCTGCAGAAGCAAAACTGAATACACCCAACATGACAATATGGTATTGAACTCTCTCACGATAAGTCATGAGGCTCAATTTATAGCAAAGAACCAAAGGTCCAAAATTCGTATACTCGTTCATAAACAAAAAAAGTAAAAGAAGAAACTCACAGACAAGCCCAGTTGTGTCAACATTGTTTCTATTGGATATCTTAAAGTCTTCGAGGTCAGCAACACGATCCACTCGTTGACTGCATCCCATCACACAATACAAACAGTCATTAGAATCAATTTTAATTCAGTTTTCAAGAACAATTTATTACGCAATTTAATGCAGCAAGCTACTTATGTTGGATCTGACAGAAAAGTATCAACAGGCATCAACCGTCGAGATTTGTGGCACTGATGCACAAACTCAGAACAGCTGAAGATGGCTTATTCACTAGGTCTGTATGACTGATAAATGTGGCGAGTGAACTCATTTCCTCAAGGCTCTCGCAAACTATTCGAGGAAAGGTCATAAAGAGAACTTGAAATGTGCAGAAAATAGAGGACGGAAACTCACGTGAGCAAAAGACTGGGCGCTCCAACAATGGGTAGAATGTAGCATATGCGAGAATCTCTAAAGTTCGAATCTTGATCACTTCCAGCTTCCATCAGTTGCCTGGGGATCAAGTTGAAGCCATGAGTGGTCTTTCTGGAAATGCGGCTGATGGCACCAGGGAATCGATCATCTGTGGGAAAAGAAGTACCTTAAGTTTCTGATTACAAAATTGCTGAAGTTATAACTCTGATTCACAATTCAGGAAGTCATTCCTTTTGCAGAATAAGAAATACCGGGATTCCGTATCAAAGAACGACGACGGAGAAGGGCTTGACGAAGGATTTCCCACCTGACAGAAGACGCTCTTACATTTTCACTGCTACCTTCTCCCATCCGATTCGCAAATGACAAATTCCTTCTCGATATACAGCTTATGTTTGCGTCTATGGCGGTCAGCGACTTGCTCTTAGGGGTGGCACATCCAATTCGCAAATGACAAAATTGAAGCAAAATGAGTATTCACTATTCCGTATTCACAAGAACTAGAGTGTTGGACCTGCCTAGAAAAGCAATTGAAATCACACTACAAAAGGTTAACCATTGTCAAAGCTGCTTTGCAAATGATCATAGTGAACTGGGTTGCTTTTTACATATGTTCCTCCAACAATTAGCCATTAGAGAGAGATGGTTACTCCACAGTAGTTCCTGGTCGGTTAAAATTGAGATACCAAACATTCAATTTTGGCAGAACCTTTCCATTGAGAGCAATCATGATATACAGAAATGCAAACATGATTAATACTAACAAGCTTAACAAATCCCTACCCAACAGAGTTTTTCATATGGTTTAACTTAATGTCAAATTGGAGGGATAAAGCCGATGACATCCATACCAAAATTAGCAAAGGAATCATGCAATAGAATAGGTTAAGTGTTCAGCTGGACCTTAAAACCAGACCCAGAAAGACAATTCATACACAATAAGAGAAGATCTTCTATTTAGCAATATCCCCTCTGGTACGACCACAGCCCCACTTACCCTTTCCCCACCAACAAAACAGCGAAACCCAGAATCGAGAAATAGCCACCAATCGAACAACCAACACAAAAAAAAAAAAAAAAACATACGGGGAATAACAGAAATAACCATCCATCAAAAGACAATTACCTCGACGACGAAGACTATCAGTTTATAACTCTCTCCGGTGGGAATTTCTAACTCCCAAAGTTGAGATCAGAGTAGATCGCATAGACTTTAGTAATGAAGGGGAAATTCGAGAAGTTTCCCATCTGAAGCTTGAACTGAATGACTGACAGGATTGAGCGTGGAATACAGATCCATCCAGCATATGGGTTTTGGTCGTTGCAACGAAGAAGATCGGATAGTGGGGAGAGGTAGAGGTTCGGTGGACAGTGGTGCGACGAAGGAGAAGGGAGAATGATTCCAGACTCGTTTGGGTCTGCTTGACACCGATTTTTTGTTTTACTTTTTAGAGTATGGGCCTAGTTTAGACCCAATTCAATTAAATTGGGTATGAGTCCAGCCCAAACTAATAATTACCCATACGACACAGCCCAAACCGTAGTCAGTCAAGACACGGAATAGCGTCTCCGTCTTCACCCAGCCGTTTCCTCCTGCTCCCCGCGTGGCCCTCTGTCCTCAAACCAGTAATCGATGTGATTTCGACGGCCCAATAATCGATCCCTCGCTATACTAAATTAGCCTGTCGCTGTGATTTGGTTCGGTGGTTGGCATGGTCGAGATTCTTTCTTGTACACCATTGATTTTGACTTCCTACTCCGACGGAATCCATACTGCAAACAATTAACTCGTCAGAGCTCCCAATGACTTCCGATTCATCCAACTTCCCTTCCCTCAGGTGGCCAAAATTACCAAATTCACGTAGTCGTCAATTTACGACGAAATGTCCTATGGGATTATTTGCCGCTGGCCTCCGGGTTAGTTTTAGTTATGTTGTTTTCTCATTGTGTTGCTTATATCAGTTGGTCACTACTGCCGCTTTTCCCTTCTGGTAAACAGGATGTTTTCATTTTATCATGTTCACGGTTAAGAAAAGAAAACGATAGATTGCTAAGAAAGGCAAGCCTAGGGGAAGTTGTCAAGCTTACACATCAGGACACGAAAAGAGGAAGTTGTCTTTGCTGAGAGAGAAATATGTGTTGAAAATGAAAATTAAAGTTTAATTAAATAAAATATTAAAGCTGCAAAATATCTGAATTTCCTAGAGTCTACTTGAATGTGTGTGGAATTGTGTAGAAGAATAATTAATATTATTAGTTGGTTAGTTGGGGCATAAAGAATGATAAAAAAAATGAAAGCCACATATGTATGGCGGTGCAGGTAGATTTTTATAGGTCAGATGGACTATAAATACCCTTAAAGAACAGCCGTGTAAGAGCAGAGCCAAGTAGCAAAATAATAAAGAAGAAGTTCCCATTCTCCTCTCTCAAAATCCCTCTTGCAAACTTTTGTCCCAATTAAAAAATCCTCTTCCTTTCTTTCTCAATAACGAGCATTCCCCCACAAAAAAAGCCACCATTAGTCTTGTGAATTATAAGGAAATAAATTCTTTTATTTTCAGCAAAGTGGTATCAAAGCCCGAGTTATTTCTAAGTATGCTCTGTGGTTGCAACGTAGTCTGATCTTCCACATCAGAAAAGAATTTCTCGTGTTATGGTTATCACGATTGTCCCATGGCCGAAAAATCCACTTTCCCCATTCAATTCCACCACCTTACCAAAATCAATTATAAAAATTGGTGCATCCGTATGAGAGTCTTGCTGGGATCCCAAGATGCTTGGGACATTGTTGAGAAAGGTTACGAGATTCCCGTGGAGGATTCTCAGTTATCTCCTGCTGAAAAGGAGGTATTGAGAAAAAATAAAAAGAGTGATCAAAAAGCACTCACTCTCATTCATTAGTGTCTTGATGAATCGATGTTCGATCAAATAGCAGATGCTACAACAGCAAAGGAAGCATGGGAGATTTTGCAAAAGGAAATGCAAGGCGTGGAACCAGTAAAGAAAGTTCGACTTCAGACACTCAGAGGATATTTTGAAGCAATGAAGATGAAAGAAGGTGAATCTGTTTCAGATTACACCTCCCGTGTGAAGTCTATCGCCAGCAAACTGAAGCAGTATGGGGAGAAATTGAAGAGACCAAAGTGGTGGAGAAAATTCTACGGTCATTATTACCGAAGTTCGACTATGTGGTGGTGGCCATGGAGGAAGCAAAAGACGTGTCAAAGATGACAGTGGATGAAGTTATCGGCTCATTGCAAGCACGAGAGAAAAGGCTAAATAAAAGAAATGAAGAATCATCAGAACAAGTGTTAGCTACAAAAGCTACCACGAAGGAGAAAGAAGGCGCACGAGGAGGAGGTTACAACAAAGGTCGAGGCAGAGGCAGCTACAGAGGCAGAGGAAGAGCTCGAGGAGCATATCAAAGTAGAGACGGAGGAAATTTCACCACGAACAATTATGAAACGTCCACCAGAGGCAGAGGTCGTTGTCGTGGACGTGGAAGAGGAAGTTGGAGATCAAATGAAGGTCGTGATAAATCCAACGTCCAGTGCTATAATTGCTCGAAGTACGGGCATTATGCATCGGAATGTTGGAGTCCGCCTAAAGAAGTGGAGGAGACAGCAAACAACGTGCAAGAAGAAGAAATCAAAGGCACATTGATGATGTCACATCAAGGAGAAGAAAAACCGAAAGATAACATGTGGTACCTGGATAACGCAGCAAGTAACCACATGTGCGGTAAAAGAAAAATGTTTGTGGATATGGATGAATCGGTGAAAGGAAATGTCGTATTTGGAGACTCCTCGAAGGTTCCTATCAAAGGCAGAGGAACTATACTCATCTGGTTAAAGAATGGCTCACATCAATTTATCAGTGATGTGTACTATGTCCCAAACATGACAAGTAACATCTTGAGTTTGGGTCAGCTAATGGAGAAAAATTATGAAGTTCATATGGTGAATCATCAACTGGAGCTGTTAAATGAGAAGAAGCAGTTGTTGGCTAGAGTCCCAATGTCGAGAAATAGAATGTTCACCCTGAACATTCAAACTGAAATGGCGAAGTGTTTCAAAGCATGTGTGAAAGACACTACATGTCTATGGCATCTGAGGTATGGCCATCTAAATTTTGGAGGCCTGAAGTTGCTTGGTCAGAAGAATATGGTGCATGGTCTGCCACTGATCAATCATCCAGACCAGTTGTGTGAAGGATGCTTAGTTGGGAAGCAATTCAAGGCAAGTTTCCCGAAGGAGTCCCTGTCATGAGCTAAAGCACCACTTGAGCTCGTCCATGCAGATCTATGTGGACCGATCACCCCAACATCGTTTGGGAAGAACAAATACTTCCTATTGTTCATTGACGATTACAGTAGAAAGACATGGGTATACTTCTTAAAGAAGAAGTCAGACACATTTGAAGCTTTCAAGAAGTTCAAGATGCTCGTAGAGAATGAAAGTGGCCGCTACATCAAAGCAATAAGATCAGATAGAGGTGGAGAATTTATGCTGAAGAAGTTTAGAAGGTTCTGTGAATATCAAGGAATTCGTAGGTTTCTCACAGTCCCAAGGTCCCCACAGCATAATGGAGTTGTTGAGAGGAAAAATTGAACTGTACTCAACATGGAGAGAAGCATGATGGAGATCAAGAACCTGCCAAAAGAGCTATGGGCTGAATTTGTTGATTGTGCAGTCTACCTGCTAAACAAGTCACCAACAAAGAGTGTTTGGAATCAAACACCCCAAGAAGCATGGAGCGGAAGGAAACCCACAATCTCTCACCTCCGAGTCTTCGAAAGTGTCGGATATGTGCACGTACCTGATCAAGAAAGGAAGAAGTTGGATGAAAAAAGCAAGAAGTACATATTCCTGGGATACTCAGAACACTTAAAAAGTTACAAAATGTTTGATCCCGTGGAAGAGAAGTTGATCATCAGTAGAGACGTGGTAGTTGATGAAGAAGCAACATGGGATTGGACTACTGAAGCAAAGAAGAGTTGTACTTTTTATCCATTCACTATGGATGAAAGTGATAATGAACCAGATGCAACTATACCTGTGACGAGTCCACCCAGTCACAGAGAGCCTGCCAGCCCATAAGGAGAATCAAGTCAAAGTCCCCGAGAAAGACCACAGAAATATAGAAGACTTGAAGAAATTTATGAGGAAACTACAACCATTGAAGGTGATGAGACACTCTACTGTCATTTCATTGATAGTGAACTAGTTGATTTTGAAGAAGCCATGAAGGATGAAAAATGGAGAAAAGCTATGGATGAAGAAATTGGAGCAATTGAGAAGAACAAGACTTGGGAGCTTATATCACTACCTGAGAACCAGAAGCCCGTCGGT